TCGAGTTCGAGAAAACACTCACTCGACCATAAAGCCTAAGGGCTGCACTAAATCGAGTTCGAGAAAATACTCACTTGACCATAAAGCCCAAGGGATGCACTAAATCGAGTTCGAGCAAACACTCACTCGGCCATAAAGCCTAAGGGTTGCACTAAATCGAGTTCGAGCAAGTGCATTAAATCGAGTTCGAGCAAATACTCACTCGACCATAAAGCCTAAGGGCTACATTAATTCAAGTTCGAGCAAACACTCACTCGACCATAAAGCCTAAGGGATGCATTGAATCGAGTTCGAGCAAACACTCACTCGACCATAAATCCTAAGAGCTACATTAAATGGAGTTTGAAAAACCACTCACTCGACCATAAAGCCTAAAGGCTACCTTAAATTCGAGTTCGAGAAAACACTCTCACTCAACCGTAAAGCCTAAAAGGCTACCTTAGTTCGAGTTTGAGAAATCACTCTCACTCGATCGAAATGCCTAAAGGCTACCCTAGCTCGAATTCGAGAAAATCATTTAGCTTAAACTGTATTCGTCAAAGTCTAGAAGTTGTCTCAGTTCGAGTTCGAACATTCACTTGGGGACTACCTATAAGAAAAGGTCGACTTCGAACATTCACTCGGACCTTCAAGTAATTATCACGTGCTAAGGCACTTTTTGGCCTTTGTATAGATTAACAAGAAAGGCTAAAGATTCAGAAGCCATAAAAGGAAGAAAGTTTTATATATACCAGAAATCATTTACAACGGCACTATGGCCCGATCATGTTTTTCTACAAAAGACCAAAACGGTCTTAAAAGAAAGAAGAAAAATACTAAAAGGACTTAGTCCTCTCCGGGAGCAACATCTTCACCTTCGAGGCCTCCTTAGCTCTCAGAACTACTCATACTCTCGGTATCATCATCATCGGGAAAGGCCAACACCCTGGCTTTGGCTTCGAGCTCTTTTGCATTCTCGATCTCGGCTGAAAGATCGAAGCCACGAGCGTGGATCTCCTTTAAAGTCTCCCTCCGAGATTGGCATTTAGCATGCTCGACAAATCAATTTGCTCGAGCTTGAGCAGCCTCGGTAACAGCTTCAGTATCAGACCGGTAAATAACCACCACTGCATCAAAATTAACTATGGCTATTTCGACCTCTGATTTGTCCGCTGCCAGTTCCGAGACCAGTCTCTCTCGAACAGAAGTCACTGAGCCCAACCGAGACTAGAACTCCTCGATATTCTTGGCTTGCACCAAGGCTCTCTCTTTCGAGCTTCGGAGTCAGGCCTCGACCGAGGCCAGTTGAGCCCGGGAAACCTCCTTTTTAGAAGCAAGGCGGTCCATGTTCTTTTTCTACTCATAGGCCCCTGCTTTCACTGCATCCACCTCGGCGCGAAGCTGCCCAATCATATCGAGCTTTTTCTGAACCTGCGGGACCGAACTGTTAACCTTCACGCCCAAATCAGTATCATTAACTTCAAAGACTCGTTTTACCTACTCAGACAAATTGGTTTGTTCTCTATTGCACCGATTATGTCTTTTGAGGCACTGCCTCTATCTCGGGGAAACTCATACTCAGTTCCTACACCATCTTTAACCGCCTCTTCGACAGATTCGTTGCCCCGAGGTAAAACATCCTTGGCCTCCCTTTGCTCGAGAACTCAGCTCGAAGTCTTATCCTCAACCTTGTCGGACCTGGGTGAAGCAGAATCAGTCCCCACCGGTCCCCAAGCTTTATAAATATCGGTGCCAGCCCGAGCACGGTCCACCGGTCCTGAGTTATCTTCTTCTCCTCCTCCTCCTTCTTCTTCTTCTTCTTCTTCTTCTTCTTCTTCTTCTTCTTCTTCTTCTTCTTCTTCTTCTTCTTCTTCTTCTTCTTCTTCTTCCCTTAGACGCAAAACCGATTCCATAGTCAATGGAATTGTGGTTCCCTTGGGCTTACGGACTGTCCTCTTCTTACGTTTTGACCCTCGGAATTCAAAGTCCTTTTTCTCTTACTTTCCTTCAACATCTTCGAGACAGGCGGTAAAACTTCCTCACCACCAGACGGGGGCCTCGTGACCACATCTTTTCTGAGACCTGTGAAGGGAGAAGATAAGTAAACTCATGCTTCGAATAAACATGTTACCTCGAATGACAAACAAATTGGTAGACCAAGATGAAAGCTTACCAAGAGTACGAGCTTCCCATCGACCCTTTGACAAATCGTGCCAAGTGTGCTCGGCATATGTCGACGTCGAAACTAGGCTCCTGACCCAGTTCTCGGGATGGGGAACCGCTCCCGGCATCCAAGTAATGGCTGTGTCAAGAAAAGCACCGATAAGTAAAGATGAAGAAGTAAAAATAACAAAAGCAAAAAATGGAATCATAAAATAACAAAAGCAAAAAATGGAATCATACTTACGATTCATATTCTATTTCTCGGGAAATGGTATACTCTAAACCAGGATTAAGTCTGAGGTATACACTCGGAAAAACCAGCCCATCCAACCCTGATCTTTGTCTTCATCAATGCTCTAGGTGAACGCCTTGGTGGCCCGGCGTTGGAGCTTTATTATCCTACCTCGTTAAAGACGAAGGCTATATAATCTTATTAGGTGGTCGAGGGTGAAGGGAAGCCCGTCGATTTTGCTCACAAAGAAACGGAGTAGTATTACAATCCTCCAGAAACAAGGATGTATTTGGCCAAGGGTTACTTGGTACTTTTTGCAGAAGTCGATGATGATCGGATCGAGGGGACCCAACGTGAAAGTATAAGTGTAAACACGTACCCTTCTACGTGGGTAGTGATCGCTTCTTCCGGTACCGGTATCACAACCTCTTTGTTTTCCCAACCACAAGCTTTCATTACCAAATAAATAAGGCTTTGAGGTATCGAGCAAATATATCTCGATACCGGCTCACATCAACTAGTAACTAACGCAGGTTCTCGACCTTAAAGTCGGAATCGATAACATATCCCCCGGGAATGAGTTCTTCGAGGCGTGGCTCCACCACCGGTTTCTCACCGGCCGACCGAGATGAGGAAGCAGCCTCTTTTTGAGGAACAGTTTTAGATATTTTGGCCATCTAAATTCTCAAGAACAAGGAAGATGGAAAATTGAAATATTTTGGTGTTTGACGAAGAACAAGCAAAGAAATTCTTAAAACTGGAAATAGAGAACTTTGGAGAAGGCGAAGAGCTGTGAAGGTTGGAATGAGAAGTGTTGAAGGTAAAGGTTTAAAATAATGAAGAAACGGGGCTATTTATAGATTTGGCAATGACGGTTCAAAATAAGCAGTGGCCGACCATCGCCTGACACACATTTATTGCCTTGGTAACTGAACCGACGGGACATTTATCACATACGTCATAACCGGGCTCGACGCAGACGTCAATGTGTATCTAAACAAAGGTTGGAAAAATCATATCGTTTCTCGCCATATTCTTTCCGAGAAACGAGGGGACTATCTGTATACGGTCAAAACCGGTTTTGCCCTTCATGTATTTAGTCGAGATTGGAACATGATAGATCGAAGGTCGTCATCATAATATCGAGATGAGATCTGAAGCCAGGTTATCGAGCTCAAGATTCAGGGACCGATTTATACCGAGCTCGAAGTCAATATCGAGCTCGAGCCAATATCCAGCTCGAGCCAATATCCAGCTCGAGATCCAGAGATCGATCAATACCAAAACCGGGGAAGATCAAGCTAAGAGACAAAGAGCCGTTGTAGCCGTGCCAGGGGAGAGAATCTCGGCAAAAATTAAAAAAAAAGTTAATTAACTAATCTATCATGGGATCCTCACTATGTATTTTTAATTATATCCAAATTAGGATTCCTCCACTATAAGAAGAGTGGCTATCATTTCTGTAAGGCATCGGACATTCAACATTCAGACATCAATACACTCTCATATTTCAGAAGTTATTGAGATTTACACATATATAGTAAACATTATCCTTCTTTGAGGCTGAGGACATTGGTTCATCTTGCTTGTTTATAAATCATTCTCTACTTAATTTGGTTTGTATTTCATTCCTTTTTTTTACAGTCAATATTCGATATATTTCTACTTGCTTTTCCGATTTGTACCAAGTTATACTACATATCCTTAGAACTACGTATAAATTCAACTCGATCCGTTTTTCGGGTAAACAACCGTCTCAGTTGAAAAAATGTCTACCAAAACTTTTTGCTAAAGCCTTCCTAATCATTGACTATGAGAAATAATTAAACTAAAATTACTAATTTCTCTTAACTATGGCCCGGCCGCTCGATTTTTAAGTTGTTTCATTTGTTCTATTTCTTAGTTTCCCCTTTACTTTCTTGAAAGTAACTTTTGGTTAAATATGTGATTATTTGACGATCAGATTAGCAAACATACTTGGACTTTCCTCTCCACTGACCATGCTTCAATTCCTCTATCTTGAATACTAATCTTCTTCTATAAATGCTGCTGGTGCTGAGCTGGGGAGCAGGGAGGGTGTGAATTCAACAGGTTTTTATGCATCACCTTAACCAGTGACGTATGCATCATTTTGCCTAAATAGTGATGTCAATTTAAATATATTACTCTTTGGTTTGTATATGGACTTACTATTTTGTCGATGTTAGATATTTCCTAGCTAGAATTTTAACATAGATCAAGCGATTTCTAAAAAATATACTGTAATAATTATTTACAATTAACCATTATGTCGGTATTATCAATGCATTCTAACAAAGGAGGTATGAAACTTAACATCATCTATATATACCACCCTCTTAATTTTTAGTAGGGATATCTATAAGCCTCATACCCAAAAGTTATATAACGACTTGAAACGAAATGTGTATATATATCACGCCCTAGCTAGTATATACACCCTACAAGTGGTGGGGGAAATTCAAGTATATACCATCCTAGCTATTGAATTGGGACACATTTAATTAAAAATGAACAGTCCATTCGTTTTGATCATTTCAATAGATACACATAACAACTCATACTATAGTCTTGTCATCACGAAATATTCTTTTGTAGCTATCAAGGCCATTTCTTATCGAACGTAATAGCATCTCATGTTGTCAAAGTACACATAGTAGTAATTCACATTAACAGATGTCATAACATAGCAAAAACATTGTAAAAATCATTTATATTGTATATCAATTCTGCCATTGGGGAAAGCATACTACTAATACGAAGCAACCAGGGGAGAATATAGTGTTAATATTTATGAGTTCATCTGAATCCAGTAATACCGGTATATAAATTCAGTAAATATTATAGATTTTGAACCCACTAAAACAATAGGCTGCAGTAAAGTCGTGAACTCGAACCCATAAAGATCAAATTTTGGATCTGTCTCTGGAGGTCGCAGATTCTAATTAATCTTTCATAAAATAAGACGATGGGCATCATTAAGTAGATAAACCAGAATGAACTCGTATCGAACTGATCCAATGACTCAATACTCAAACAATCAGACTGATAAATTTCAGGATTGCTCTCCAAGATAACCGTGTTTTCCATTTCAATATTCATCTTTTGGTTTTCCCCGAATGTAATAATGCTGCTGCTGCAGGATGAAGAAACATCAGGTGATGTCAAGCTGTTGTTGCTGGATTTTCCTATCGTTAGATTATTAATAGCCAGAAATAATACGGGTCTTTCTTGAGCTTTTTCTGCATTTATCTTCCCAACACTTTTCTGGGGTTTCTCCACCCTTTTGCGTCTTGCCTTAGACTTCAGTAAGGCATCATTTTTCATGCCCATATGCTTCTTTAAATGTGTGTAGAAGAAGTTTTTAACGTCGTTGTCACTTCTTCCAGGCAATTTTGCTGCAATAGTTGACCATCTAAATATATATATTAACACAAGGAAATTCGCTAATTAGAAGTAGTACACCTAATTTATTTTAAACATAAGATAATTTGCTATCAAATGTTTTAAATTAATAGATACACGTAGTTAAAGTAAAGCTAGGACTTCTTACCTACTTCCAAGTTCCTGATACAATTTGATGACTATTTCTCTTTCTTCCATGGTAAAGGGTCCTTTCTTAACATCAGAGCGGAGGTAGTTCATCCATCTAAGTCTACAACTTTTCCCAGTTCTTGAAAGCCCTGCAATTATGTACAACCCAAGTTTTTTATTGCATGTGGAATTCAAGGAATGAATTATCCTAACATATGATCATTTTCAAACAATGCTTTTACTAGTGGTGGAACCTGCAAATTTGGGCATGTGACTCCAATTCCAAATGCCATATCTGATGATATAAGATTTCAACTTTTGGTCTTCCTCTGGAGACCATGCTCCCTTCTTTATCTCCTCCATGTTTGTACTTTTCTGCTGATGTTGTGGTACACTTGACATGATTGCGGAGAAGCTGTAGGATTGCTCCTGGATTTGAATTCACCTACTTCAGTACTTGTGTTATACTTTCAACTTTCCATTGGGAAGTAACTGGGCATTATATAGACATTTCCCACGTAGTGTGTGGGAATATTTAGTCAATTTAAAGCGTTCTTTCCGAGAAAAGGAGTACTCTCAGCAACTACTTCATTGGTTTGTCTTTTGTGTTTCTTGTGTTTTTTATGGTATTTCTGCTAATTTTAATACTAATAATTCAATAGGGAGAGAGAAACAGTAGGAACAAGAAAAGATATTCTGACTTCATTAGATTCAGAAGAATGACCCCTCTTAAAAGATTTTAAAAAATACGAAGAAAGAATAACTTTTCGCTACAAATTAAACGTATTCGAGGATTCTAGATTTGGACCCCCCCCCCCCCCC